CTCTGGACCCTATCCCTACCCTCCAGAGTATCTACCTCTCTCGCCATCTTAGTGTCATCTGCAAACTTTCTGAGGGTGCAATCCATCTATCATCCAGAACATTAATAAAGATGTTGAACAAAACCAGCTCCAGGACTGACCCCTGGGGCACTCCACTTGATACCGGCTGTCAACTAGACATCGAGCCGTGGATCACTACCCATTGAACCCGACAATCTAGCCAGCTTTCTAGTCCATTCATCCAATCCATACTTTTTAAACTTGCTGGCAAGAATACTGTGAGAGACCATATCAAAAGCTTTGCTAAAGTCAAGATATCACATCCACTGCTTTTCCCATATCCACAGAGCCAGTAATTTCATCATAGAAGGCAATCAGGTTGGTCAGGCATGACTTGCCCTTGGTGAATCCATGTTGTCTGTTCCTGATCACCTTCCTCTCCTCCAAGTGCTTCAAAATGGTTTCCTTGAGGACCTGGTCCATGATTTTTCCAGGGACTGAGGTGAGACTGACTGGTCTGTAGTTCCCCGGATTCTCCTTCTTCCCTTTTTTAAAGATGGGCACTATATTTGCCTTTTTCCAATCATCCGGGACTTCCCCAGATCGCCACGAGTTTTCAAAGATAATTGCCAACTCCCTCAGCACCCTAGGATGCATTAGATCTGGACCCATGGACTTGTGCATGTCCAGCTTTTCTAAATAGTCCTTAATCTGTTCTTTCTCCACTGAGGGCTGCTCACCTCCTCCCCATACTGTATTGCCAGACAGCAGTGTGGGAGCTGACTTTGTCTGTGAAGACCGAGGCAAAAAAAGCATTGAATACTTCAGCTTTTTCCACATCATCTGTCACTAGGTTACCTCCGCCATTCATTAAGGGTCCCACACTTTCCCTGACCTTTTTCTTGTTGTTAACATACCTGTAGAATCACCTTCTTGTTACCCTTCACATCCCTTGCTAGCTGCAAATCCAATTGTGTTTTGGCTTTCCTGATTACACCCCTGCATGCTCAAGCAATATTTTTATACTCCTCCCTAGTCATCTGTCCAAGTTTCCACTTCTTGTAAGCTTCCTTTTCGTGTTTAAGCTCACCGAAGATTTCATTGTTAAGCCAAGCTGGTTGCCTTCCATATTTGCTATTCTTTCTGCACATCAGGATGGTTTGTTCCTGCACTCTCAGTAAGGCTGCTCTGAAATACAGCCAACTTTCCTGGACTCCTTTCCCCCTCTTATTAGCCTCCCAAGGGATCCTGCCCATCAGTTCCCTAAAGGAATCAAAGTCTGTTTTTCTGAAGTCCAGGGTCCGTATTTTGCTACTCTCCTTTCTTGCTTTTGTGAGGATCCTGAACTCAACCATCTCATGGTCACTGCTTCCCAGATTGCCACCCACATCTACTTCCCATACCAATTCTTCCCTGTTTGAAAGCAGCAGGTCAAGAGGAGAACAGCCCCTGACTGGTTCCTCCGGTAGTTGGACCAGGAAGTTGTCCCCAAACCCTCTCCAAAAATTTCCTGGATTGTCTGTACACTGTTGTATTGCTCTCCCAGCAGATGTCAGGATGATTAAAGTCCCACATTAGAACCAGGGCCTGTGTTCTGTAAACTTCAGTTAATTGTTCAAAGAAAGCCTCGTCTACCTCATCGTCCTGGTCTGGTGGTCTTTCGCACACACCCACCACAACATCACCCTTGTTGCTCTCGCTTCTTAACTTAATCCAAACTCTCTCAACAGGCTTTTATCCAGTTTCATACTGGAGTTCTGAGCAATCATGCTGCTCTCTTACATACAGTGCAACTCCTTCACCTTTCCTCCCCTGGCTGTCCTTCCTGAACAGTTCATACCCACCCATGACAGTCCTCCAGTCATGTGAGCTACCCCACCAAGTCTCTGTTATTCCAATCACATCATAGTTCTTTGACTGTGCCAGGACTTCCAGTTCTTCCTGCTTGTTTCCCAGCTTTTCTCCTGATCACTTTCAGTCCTGGGAACTAAGGTGGGGATCAGTGATGGAAATTGGGATTAGCTACAGTAAATTGTGCATAAATCTACATGTTGGGGCAGACCTGCCCTCCCAAACAATTAAATACTTCTAGCATTATGCATTTCTAACTGAATATAATTTTCAGCATCTGAACATGCTGACAGCTCAGGACAAGTAGCAGCTCTACTTGTATTGTGCATCTGAGAGGAATATAACATCTGAAAATTGGCTCAACATTGCTGTAGCAATCTCACCCCAATCCACTGGTTCTTTGATGTCAAGCTAACAGGCCTTTGTATTTTTCTATCTCTAAGTTCCATGAGTTGCTGAAAAAGGGCCTCATCTCATGACACTTTGAAAGATGAAAAAGAAGAAAATTACATTCTCAAGTCAGTCTCCCTGCAAACTCAGGATTGTTCCTTGTTTTTTTCAGTCTATATTTAAAAGATCCCAGCTCTGTAAAGGGGAGAGGCTCCTTAGCACATTAACAATCCCTTAACCATCCAGTGACCCGTTAGGGTAGTTGTAAGTTGCCTCTTTTGGTAAGAGGCAAATGGTTCATGCTGTCTTTGGCCTAGCCAACTCTATAATCTTTTGTGGGTGTAACAGTGTGAGGTAGGGGGGTGATTTTTTGTAACACTTTTATACTGGCAAAACGATAGCGTAGACACAGTTCTATCATCTTTTGCCAGTATAGCTTTTATTCTAACAAAAGCTCTTTTTTGTTAATATAATTTGGGTCTACACAAGAAGGGATTGGGATACTGGTATAACTATACCAACAAATCTTTCTAGTTTAGATAGGACCCTACACTATCTCCATATACTGTATTGCTCCAACTGTAAACTATGGTGAACCTATGCAGGTATCTGAACCATAGATTTATCTCCCAATGTCAAAGCTTTTTCATTCTTCATCTGTATAGTAGGGACAAATGGCAATATGTATCTGGAGATATATTTATTGGTATTTCTGTCTCTTGTGGACTTTAATTCGAAATTGAGTGAAACATCACAGATGACTTAATGTACTGGACGATGTTTCAGTCATGTACTGGCCTGGCCCTTATGCACAATGTGGGGAAAGATGTAAGGCCTTATCTCTCCTGGTGTGGCCCATGTAAGGGCTGGGTGGAATTGCAATGCCTGTGCTCTGGAGAGTGTAAGGATTGTTCACTTCATACTTCTGCAGAGCTGGCCAGCCAGGTGGGGGACATAAACTGTCCTACTAGACCCCTTAGGGAGGGGGAACCAGAAGGCATTCTACTTCAGGCATTGTTTCTCTTCAGGCTGCATTGTTCTGCACTTCTCCTTATTATTGCCCTGATTCAGATAGATACGTTAGAATAGTCCTATTTTTAAGCACAGAGAGTCCCACTGGCTTCAGTGTGACTATTAACATACTTACAGCTATGCATACACTTAAATATCATCCTCAACTGGAGACTGTCTGCAGTGCCACAGCATATGTCTACATTAGATTTACCTCAGTATAATTGTTCAGCCTACGATGAAGCTCATATGTTTGTAGCCTGGAAAAAAACCTTACGGAACATTCACACTTTACAAAAGTGTTAGCTAACTTGAGTTAATTGATCACTTACTTCCAGGGTAAAAAATGTCTAGTGTAGAGATGCCCTAAATGGCACAATCAGACCCATAATATGTAGATAATCTTTTTAAGCCATTAAATACAGCTCTTTCCAGGAAATTTAAAACTGCCTTTTTAGTTTTAAATGGCAATGTTCAGTTAGCTAAAATGTAATCCAATAGACTTATTCTTAATACCCGGCTAATATAAATTATTTCTGGCAGGCCTCCTCATACAGCCTGAACAGCTCAGACATAACTACAAAAAAATCAATTTTAGGAGAATAATCTATAATCTGGTCTGGTGTGTGCACATACATCTATCAAAGGATATTTGACACCCAGTTACCAATTTTTAAGCACAGGTTAAAAGAGCAATTTCTTCAGTTCAGTCTCAAAAGCCCCAGATATATTTACACGTTAACTCTTTCACCAGAAAATCTTTAAGGTAGGAAGCGGGGGAGGAGGGGAGGCCTAGATCCACAGCATGTAAGGTGAAATTCTCAAGTAATCATACATTAAAAGATGGCTACATTGTAATAGCAACAGCAGTAGTAGATACATAAAAGCCACTAACTAAACTATGAAATATCAAACCACAAAGATTCCATATTATACAAGACTGCAAAGTCATTCACACTACTATATTATTAATGAACCACCAGCAAGGCATTTTCACCAAAAAACCTCTATTTTCTGGGTTACAATGAAACTTCCCTTGAAGGAATGTTCAGGAGGGACCGTGTTTTTCTCTTTGTCTAGCATAATGGAATTCCAAATCTGACTGGTGTCCTTAGCTGCTACCAAAATATGAATAGTTATCAATACTACTAATAATAACGACCATGATAGGAGGAGAACAACACAGCAAATTTGGACTATGTACTGTATAGTGGGTCAGACTCTCAATGTAATCATTTTTTTGAAGTCCATGGAGCTATCTATGACTATTTACCCCAGCTGAAGCTCTGACCCAGGTTTGAATATTGTAGTCAGAGCAGTGTGGAAACTACACATTCTTACAGCCTGATATTCAACTGGTGAAATGGACTCCTACAAAAATTAACAGCTACTTTCTTCATCTCAGTCAAGCTACTAACAAAATTTATCTCCAGTGTTCAGCTTCCCTTGAATGTTGGGAGATCCAGTCCATACAGGAGGAACAGAATACCAAAGCAAAGTCTATGTAGTTCTCAGTGGCAATTTTTTTCTCTAAAACTGGAGTCTGAATAGGTAGATAAGCAGAATAAAGACAACTAATAGCCATGATTAAACATTAGCGCTTCTCTATTACTGGATATATAATTTAATATATGTTTCAAAAATCTTAGGTTTCAAAAATACTATTTTGAGTTTTGTGCATCCCAAAGATTTTTTTTTCAATAGTTCAAGGGGCTTAAAAATCTATTCTTTTTTCCCTGATGTGCAAGGGTGAAGATCCTTTGATTCCAGGATGAAAGGAATGAAAACAGATTGCTTGGGAGCCCTGCTTCCCATGTATGCTCCTCTTCTTACCACTGATGTCTTCTTTGCAACAGGGCCCAAGTGAGTGGGATGGTGATGGTGGTGGACGTGTGTATTTTCCCCTTCCTTCTCATCCCCAGGATCTATGGGGAGAAACAGGAGGAGAAAATCCTCCTTCCCTCTACACTAGAGGCAGGGGGTTCTTCTCTCCTCCCTGCCCGAGGAGAAGGGATGTGTTGTTCCTCATGGAAATTCCAGTAGAACCAGTCAACTGAACTCTGTTTGGATTCTGCTGATCTTTGATGATACTTATGGGTCTTTGTTGGTTTATGCTGGAGGGATTGTTCTGATGTAAAATTTAACTATCAAGTGAATCTATTAGGAACCAATTAGAAATTTGTCACACTTTTTCACTGAGGCTTCCTCAACTAAGAGGACATATGCAAAGTACCAGTTTGTAACAGAACGTGACCCTCAGCCCTGTGAGCCTACGGCAGCTGGAGCGGACCAGCCACGGGTGTCTAATTGTGGTGCAGACATACCCAATGGGAACATAGTGAAAATAGGATTTTAACTGTTGATAAGTTACAAATGAGGACAAGGCTTATAATACTACCCCACCACCCAACACACACTTCATGGCTGTCCTATTTAGAAAGCCAGGCATGTGCTCTGCTGCACTGATTTATCAAGTTGTTACAATAACAAGGGGTAAATTATTTTATTTCTAATTGGCACTCAAATGCTACTCGGGCGATCATGTGATCCTAACACCAGCTTAAACAATTCAAGGACAAGCCATCCAAATCCGTTATACTTTGCAGTGTATCATGTGATGTGAATCAACCAGTTCTCACCCTCTGCATTGTTGCCCTTAGCAACAGAAAAAGCATGTGATGGTTCTTATGTGGTATAGCTGCCCTGCAGCAGCGAACGAAAGGATTTAAGCAAAATGAAGTGGACAGAAATATTGATTCTGACAAGTAGCAACTCTACTGTCTGGAGTTTCCCAGTGCATAGCAGTGATAATGCAGGTTCATGATTCTGGGTGGGAAAAGGGGCAGCTTTCAAAAGAAACATTATGGCGAAATATTCAGAAATATTCACTTTTATTTACTTTCTTTACAGGTAACTAGACTGTTTTGTTCTTTTATCTCTGCCATAACATTGTGCAGGAGAAAGGAAAAAGAATGGTTAGGCATAAGATGAAGCTAATCAGAGTGATAAGCTAGGGACTGAGGGCTACCATCTAGCATTGCGAATGGATGCAACACTATCCAGGACAGTACAGACAAAACATATTCAGACAAAACAAAAGCAAGTAGAATACACGTGTATATAATAAAATTAAAGAAGTGAGACTGTGCATTATCCAGTCCTCTCTGTATATGAGAATAGGGAAGGGACTGTAGAGAGATGAAATACAGGCTAAGAGATGCTTCTCCTGGGACAACGTGGAAGGCTTCAAATCAATGTATTGACACCTGCAGTGCTATGAATGAGATATAGACCATGTCCAATACATACCATGTCAGTCTGACAATGTGACATGCTGCTTGCATAGTCAACAGTCTCAAAGACATCAAACCATCAGTCTGGAAATGGCCCAACTTGATGATCACTTTAGATAAGCTATTACCAGCAGGACAGTGGGGTGGGAGGGGGTATTGTTTCATGGTCTCTGTGTGTATATAATGTCTTCTGCAGTTTCCACAGTATGCATCCGATGAAGTGAGCTATAGCTCACGAAAGCTTATGCTCAAATAAATTGGTTAGTCTCTAAGGTATTAAAAAAAAACAAAAAACAGTCCAGAATATTCAAGTGAGGCTGAAATGTTTTCTTTTGACCTGTTGGAATGGAAGTTCTGATTTTGTAAACAATTTTTCATTTCAGTGTTTTTATTTTATATTGTTACTCCTTTTGAGCTAAGCAGCTAGTCAGCATTCAGGGTCTTGCAGGTTGTTCCAGTTAGGAGAAGAAATGATGGTCGATTAAAGCAGGGGAGGCCAACCTGAGCCTGAGAAGGAGCCAGAATTTACCAATGTACATAGCCAAATTGTCATTGTCAGCAGCCCCCCATCAGCTTCTGCCCCACCGCTGCTCCCAGTGCCTCCCACCCACCGGCAGTCCTGCCGATCAGCATCTCCCCTTCCCTCCCCGCACTCCTGATCAGCTGTTTCATGGTGTGCAGGAGGCTCTGGGAGGGACGGGGAGGAGTGAGGACATGGCAGGCTCAGGGGAGGGGGCGGGAAGGGGTGGAGTGGGAGCTGGGCCTGTGGCAGAGCCAGAGGTTGAGCAGTGAGCACACACACCCCCGCCCCCCTCCCCGGCACATTGGAAAGTTGGCGCCTGTAGCTCCAGCCCTGGAGTCGGTGGCTGTACAAGGAGCCGCATATTAACTTCTGAAGAGCCGCATGTGGCTCCGGAGCCACGGGTTGGCCACCCCTGGATTAAAGTATCTTTGCTGCAGTTCTGTTTATTTGCAAAAACGTACAAAGTCCCATTTGTTTGAGCACAAGAGGAATCAAACAAACTAGAGACATTTTGCCTGATCCCAGCACCAAACTTCTTTCAGTCAGCACACCCAAGAACTCTCTCTATGCTCTTCCTCAGTACCATGCCACTGCACTTGTTCAGGCTGAACTGGAGCTTCCTGCTCCACTGGGTTCTCTGGTGCTTCTCCTGTGTCATTTCTTTCCCTCACCTCTCTCCTGCCTGTCTGTCTCTCCCACATACCCTTAACTATGGTGTATTGAAAACTAAAAATCACAAATTATTACATTAAATTTGTAAGGGGTTTCCTGGCTCTGCTTGCAGGGCTGGGGGCTCTGTAGGGAAGCATGTAATCTGGGTCTTTGGCAGTCTTTCTTCAGCAAGGGATGATGAGTTATGCTTCTTTGCCTTAGAGAGCAGCCTGCTTTCCTCCTTCTGTGTTTGGCTCTTGTGTGTTAAGGTTCTAGATTTTAAGAAATAAAGTCATGTTACATTAGAACCTTCCAGAAAATTAAAAGCATAAACGTCTCTGTATGCTGTGAATATAACTAACAGCAAAACAGTACTCAGCAAAGCCATCTGCTCACATTTTCCTATTCCTGGGCCAGTTCCCTTAAGCTTTTATTGTAGGAGGGGGCTGCTTAACTGTCTCTTAAAGCTATCTTAGGCTATGTCTACACTGCACTTTTGTCAGTAAAACTTTTCTTGGTGAGGGGTGTGAATAAAACACACCACTGACTGACAGTAGTTTTACAGTCAAAAGTTTTAAAGATGCTCTCCCACCGACAGAGGAACCACTGCTCATCACAGGTGGTTTTATTTTGCCGGCAGGAGAGCTTTCTCCTGCCAGCAAAGAGCAGCTACATGAGAGACCTTACAACAGCACAGCCGTAGCAGCAGAGTGTAGACATAGCTTTTGAGGATGGGTGGTGGTCACACCCCACGGTTTAAATGAGGCTTAACCCAAACTAAAGCAATTTAATATAAAAAAGGTAAAAAATAGAATTAAATGAATTGGAGTTGATTTTGTTGAAACAGAATATTTTGGTGTGAAACAAGCTTTTTAATTTCTTTTAGTGAGAAAGGAATAATTTTTGTTGGATTTTTTTACTAGTTTCAGAACAGAAAAAAAGAACTGAACTCATGGAATTTCCAGCAATATGGAAAATCCTGTTTCTCACCGGTTGTACTTATTTTCTGACTTCGATATTTAAATAACTTGTAAGAAGAAAAGCTATACTAACATAGAAGTAAACTTATGATAAATATACCGTATATACTCGTTCATTAGCCCGTTCGTTTATAAGCCAACCCCCCCAAGATGGATAGGTAAAAATAGTAAAAACTGTATGACCCTTTCATAAGCCGACCCTCTATTTCAGGGGTTGGCAAACTTTGGCTTCTGGCCTGTCAGGGTAAGCCGCTGGCCGGTCGGAACGTTTTGTTTACCTGGAGCATTCACAGTCATGGAGCCCCTCAGCTCCCAGTGGCCGCGGTTTGCCGTTCCCAGCCAATGGGAGCTGCGGGAAGTGGCGCCACTTCCCGCAGCTCCCGTTGGCTGGGTACGGCAAACTGCGGCCACAGGGAACTGAGGGGCTCCATGCCTGCAGACGCTTCAGGTAAACAAAACAACAATGACAGGTTTCAGAGTAACAGCCGTGTTAGTCTGTCTTTGCAAAAAGAAAAGGAGTACTTGTGGCACCTTAGAGACTAACCAATTTATTTGAGCATAAGCTTTCATGAGCTACAGCTCACTTCATCGGATGCATACTGTGGAAACTGCAGAAGACATTATATACACACAGAGACCATGAAACAATACCCCCTCCCACTCTACTGTCCTGCTGGCAATAGCTTATCTAAAGTGATCATCAAGTTGGGCCATTTCCAGCACAAATCCAGGTTTTCTCACCCTCCGCCCCCCCACACACAAACTCACTCTCCTGCTGGTAATAGCCCATCCAAAGTGAGCACTCTCTTCACAATGTGTATGATAATCAAGGTGGGTCATTTCCAGCACAAATCCAGGTTCTCTCACTCCCTCACCACCCTCCAAAAACCACACACACAAACTCACTCTCCTGCTGGTAATAGCTTATCCGAAGTGACCACTCTCCCTACAATGTGCATGGTAATCAAGGTGGGTCATTTCCAGCACAGATCCAGGCTTTCTCACCCCCACCCCCCGGGTAAACCTGGATTTGTGCTGCAAATGGCCCACCTTGATTATCATGCACATTGTAGGAAGAGTGGTCACTTTTGATAAGCTATTACCAGCAGGAGAGTGAGTTTGTGTGTGTGGTTTTTGGAGGGTGGTGAGGGAGTGAGAGAACCTGGATTTGTGCTGGAAATGACCCACCTTGATTATCATACACATTGTGAAGAGAGTGCTCACTTTGGATGGGCTATTACCAGCAGGAGAGTGAGTTTGTGTGTGGGGGGGCGGAGGGTGAGAAAACCTGGATTTGTGCTGGAAATGGCCCAACTTGATGATCACTTTAGATAAGCTATTACCAGCAGGACAGTGGGGTGGGAGGGGGTATTGTTTCATGGTCTCTGTGTGTATATAATGTCTTCTGCAGTTTCCACAGTATGCATCCGATGAAGTGAGCTGTAGCTCATGAAAGCTTATGCTCAAATAAATTGGTTAGTCTCTAAGGTGCCACAAGTACTCCTTTTCTTTTTGCAAAACAACAATGTAATAGATATTCAATTCAATGATTTCATAGAGTTTAAAATAATCAAATTTTGGTGTAGACCCATTTATAAGCTGACCCCAGCTCTTTGATGTGTCACTTTTTTACCAAAAATATTTGGCTTACGAATGAGTATATATGGTACTCAATATTTTTATGTTGTAGGTGATTTTATTATGGCCATGTATGTTCACTTTTTGCATATTAGACACTGGACAGAGCCATGTATTTACATAAACCTTAAGAATTTGTGTATAACTGATGTTAAAGATTCATTTGATAAAACCTTATTATACTCTGAGTGAAAATTCTTCAGTGAAAAGATGGTCTTATGGTGAAGGCATTAATAGTAAAATTTGCAAAAGTGCCTAAATGACTGAGGTGATTTAAAAAATATTACCCAAAATCTGGGTTCTATTCCTGATTCTACTACTTTGGTCAAATCATTCTCTCTGTGTTTCAATTTTTCGGTCAGTAAAAATGGGGGAAATCATATTTTTCTGTTAACTTTACTTTGGAAAGTAAAATATAACTTTGCAGAGTCAAAACAGATATTGCACAACATTCTAAAGTGTATTTCCCCTACTGCAAGACCAGATCTGTGTATTAAGTGGAGGTACAGATGTGCACACATAAACCAAGGTGGAGAGATGGTTTATACAGATGTCACTGATGGCACAATCTGATAGTGAAGTTGCACAAGTGTCACCAATGGCCTAGTTTGGTGTGCAAGGTCTTTGTTACTGGTGAAGGTGCACAAGATGAGAAGAAGTGACCATTTCTTTCTTCTGTGTTTGTACAGCGCCTAGCACAATGAGGACTTGGGACTATGGTGGTAATAATAATAATAACCTGGCCTAACATTCAGAGTTTGCTAATTTGGTGGCTGGAAAAAATATATTTCAAGCCAAGCATTTTTAGTGTGAAAAGCCTTGCAACATGGAAAACTTTTTTTTCAGAGTTGCCTTTTAGACCAGAATGGTGTTTTAATGAGGAAATTGTATGATTTAGAAGTGTTATGCTTACAGCTGGTTCCTCAGTGCCATCATTACTGGAAGTTTCTTTTATGGGGGCTTACTTACGCTTTGCTTGGCTGCACAAAAGACTGGTTATAGTAAAAGTAGGGGGAGAGATGCAAATTTAAAATTAAACCATTATAGCCTTTTTCTCCACCTGTATTTTACAACAAGAAAGATGTGCAGATGTGGTCTAAAAATTTCTGGAGCTATTGTCTCAAATAAATATAGATTTTTTTTGTTTTCAGATTCTTTCGAAGGCACACAATTCGGGTTGGGGATGTGGACAACTGATTTGATGTTTAAATACTGTGGTCTCCATTTCTGTAACATTCCCCTGGTTTCATGACATCAAAAAGCTATGAAAGGCATGGAGAGGGAAAAAAAATCACATGATTGTTATAAATCTAATTGTAGTGAAAGTAATGGCACTCCAGCACCGGAAGACGGACGCATTTCAAGAGTATGAGACTGGACCATATGCTAAGCAAAGACAACCTCATGAGAGAATTTATAGATTTATATCTATATCTATCATATGTAGAGAGAGACTACAAAATGCGGAAGACAAATATAAGAGTACTTCTTAGGCACAATACATCAATAACTGATTCTATTCGTATGCAGTGTTTCCCTTTTCTTTGTATACATCTTTTTTCTACTCTTATGCCTTCACACCTTTTCATAAAGCCTGAACAGTTATTAATTCTTGCAAATCTGATATTTTTACCATAATATGTATCAGTTATTGTTAGCTTTATATACATTTGTTTTAACATTGCTTTGTACTAATTCAACTGCCTATCTCTGCATATTCCTTTTTACTGAAAAAACTCAAATAAAATGTGAAGCAAAGAAATAATACTCTAGATATCTGGAAATTGTATTACTAGGAGCAAAAGATATTGTTAAACTTGCTATTGCTGAGCTTGGTTTTTTGGGGGGGAAACCTCTGTAGGAAATAATCTTTAGTGAAAGAACCACTATTACCTGAACACACCCTGACATGCTTTCTCAATGTTTTTCTCATAACTTAGAAATGTTAAGCTGTAGGGAACCCAAGCCAAAAAAATATAACATGATTGTAATTTGTATTTGTATGGGCAAAGTACAGGCTGGGGTAGTTAAAGATAGTAATTATAATAGTTGTTTGTAAAGTCCCCAGGCCAAAAGTTTCTGGGCTCTTAAGTCTATAGTTACAGTAAAATAAGTTAATAAAACAGGCCATAGCCCAATAAATTCTAGCTTTAAATTCAGTATCTCTAAGCCTTTCTAGCAACTATTTACTTGTTCCCATAATATAAGAACTAGTGGCCACCAAATGACATTAATGGGTAGCAGGTTTAAAACAAATAAAAGGAAGTTCTTCTTCACTCAGCGCACAGTCAACCTGTGGAACTCCTTGCCTATAACAGGGTTTAAAAGAGAACTGGATAAATTCATGGAGGTTAAGTCCATTAATGGCTATTAGCCAGGATGGGTAAGGAATGGCGTCCCTAGCCTCTGTTTGTCAGAGGATGGAGATAGATGGCAAGAGAGAGATCACTAGAACATCACTGTGGGAGAGGGATAGCTCAGTGGTTTGAGCATTGGCCTGCTAAGGCCAGGGTTGTGAGTTCAATCAAATGGGATCAGGGGCAAAAATTGGGGATTGGCCCTGCTTTGACTAGATGACTTCCTGAGGTCCCTTCCAACCCTGATATTCTATGATCACCTGCTAGGTTCATTCCCTCTCGGGCACCTGGCATTTGCCACTGTCGGTGGACAGAATACTGGGCTGGATGGACCTTTGGTCTGACCCAGTACAGCCATAACTTTAAAGTTTGCAAATCTAAAACTTTAGCGGTACCAGGTGTCAGACATTCTGGCTAGTGCTTATCTATAAAGTTACACCCTCATTATCCATGGAGGTCTTAAAGAGTGAAAAAGAATCTGAGGAAAATAAGATATTTGAATATGGGGGGAAGTTTTAGCCCCAAAGGTAAACTTGTCAGACAATGAAGTTTAAAAGCAGAATTAAACTGAGAATATTTTTGCAGCTTTAAGTTAGCGATAGCTATTGGGGTACTACAGTGTACTTGTTAAAGCACAGGACTAGGAATCGAGAGCTGGGTTCTGAGCCTGGCTCTACAGATGACTCTCCATGTGACCTATGGCCAATCACTACAACTTTGTGTGCTGCAATTCCCTCATCTGCTACAGGTGGATAATGTTTACAAGAACAAATCAAAACTTTTCTGTTTTGAAACTTCAAAAAATTGTCATTAAAAATATTTACTAATTGTCAATCACCTCTGAGGGTGAGATTCTGTGCTGCCTCTTGTAGAGGGACAGCACTGTACTCACAGCCTGGCAAAAGGAGACTTTAAACCAGCTTTGTGTCCTCCCAATACTGGGCTGCTCCAGAAACACATTATGCCAGTCTCCTGGGGCTGCTACACTGCCTGGCATCTCCACAGTGCCGTCTCCTGGGGCTCTGTAATGGAGCCCTTCACTACTCGTACCACAAATCTGTTGAAGACTGCTTAGCATGCAAGCACCAGTGCCCTCTTATTCACAGTGTCAGTTCCCATCACTGTTTATATACAGTCCATTCCACACAGCTCCCTGGGGAACAGCTAACTTCTTCATTCAGCAGGGAGCCGGAGCCGGAGCCGGAGCCGGAGCCGGAGCCGGAGCCGGAGCCGGAGCCTCCTCCCTTTCCAGTCCCCCCCCCTTTGCTTCCTTTCTGCCAGCTTTATATAGCCCCCTGCCTGATAAGGCCAGCAGGTGTTTCTGCTGAAGCCCTTAGGCAAGCCATACCCAGCCAGCAGCAATTAATACCCCTTAATTGGGGCTGGGCTAACAGAACCTCCTGGCCACCACCCTGTTACAGGCCCTGACACCCACCCCTTACATCAGGGATTTTACTCGGAGGGTAGTCTTATGGCTGTCTCCCGCAATACCTGCATCAGTGGAATTTTAGAGCACCTTTTCATCACTTCTACCCAACGTATACAGATGTGAGAGATTGAAGGCTTTGAACATGGTTCTGCAACCAGGGCTCAGATTGTGGCCACCACACCGCAGCTCTTCTAGCTCACAAAGGGTCACACCCATGAAGCACCTGATGGGGGAGATGTCCAGCCTCACTGATTGGTTGGGACGCACTACTTAAACCACAAAGAGGCACAGGAATTTGTCTGAGCAACTGGGTGTTACTGTGGTTCCTGACTACTTGTCTGACTTCTGAGTCCTACTTTCCTGCCTGTTCCTGTTCTCCTTATCCTCATCTCTTCCCAGTTCATACTTTCCTGCCTCACTTCAGGTCTTTGCTCCTATGCCATACCACTGACTCTGGCATTAAGCACTGGCGTAGTATCTGACTCTGACCTTGGCATGTGGCTCTGATCCTGGCTTTGGTACCAGGCTCCTGACTCTAACCATCAGGCATCATTGCTGATGCCCTGACCCCCTATAATAGGCTGGAGCAGGGATAAGGCTATCACCCTAATTATTCACCTACCTCATCGGGGAGTTGCTAGGCTTAGTTCATTAAAGCTTATGAAGTATCTTTAAAATTTCCCAATGAGATGCTGTACAAAAGGGATTTTGTAAGAGTATTTTATGTTTTCTCTGTATGCCCCCACCTGCTGTGGTGTTGCTAGTCCAAGGAGCTGTGAAGACACTCCATTCTGTCAATTATACTACTTTATTGATGTCACAAACTCACCACTTATCAGAACGGGAGAAGGAGAGTGGCACCAAGTAGAAGATAATGGTCCTATGATGCTGCAAAATATTTAGGATCACTTCAGGAAAAATAGCAGCTTCCTAATTGTTTTGGGAGGCAGTAGGTGAGGGAACCAGCCCACTGATTTTTAGTATCCTTTGTGAAAACATTTTTTTAAAAGAGCAGATTTCCTAAAATTCAAAATGCCAATCTTCAGAAAGATGTAGTGTCCAGTTTGGTATATATGTTTTGTAGGATGCTTATTTGTTTAACTTGATGCAGCACCCTGAGAGTTCACATGGCAAGAAGCACTCCTCACCCTGCAAAAGCTGTGAATGGTTTTTTGAAGTGAATATTTCTGATTGAAATTGGTATTTCTGAGCCTCCTGCTGATGGGCTCCAGTTTGCATACGGAGGGACCACATTTCTGTTTTTTTTTTCCATAAAAATCAGCACTGGGAGGGGCATCTTCAGTTCTGTTCTCCATTTCCCCGTGCTACTGCACATAAGCTCTTAAAACAATCCCGAAGCCTTGTCTGGACTAGCACTAACTATGGAGATACCCTGGGTTTGTTCCCTGCTCCTTTCACAGTCGTAGAATCATAGAATATCAGGGTTGGAAAGGACCTTAGGAGGTCATCTAGTCCAACCCCCTGCTCAAAGCAGGACCAATCCCCAACTAAATCATCCCAGCCAGAGCTTTGTCAAGCCTGACCTTAAAAATATCTAAGGAAGGAGATTCCACCACCTCCCTAGTCATTACGCTGAAGACTGAAGCAATGCGGTAGCTCGATATTTCAGCTTTCCTCTCTCATCCTCTATTAGTTGGCAGGCACCCTTGATGAAAATAGCATCAGCAATAAATTCCATATCCTCACACCCACCAACAACCTTTGCCCTGATGTGATCAATGAACCTTTCTGATCAGCCCTACCCTGTCCGTCAGCAAGGACTCTCTCTTGCAACATCATTCTGAATGACACATTTCCACAGAATACCAAAATTTGAGACACAAATCTTTATTACCTTCAGGTTCCAAACAGAAGTTTACACACCATCACATTCAAAGTAGTTTCATCACTAGTACATGACCATCACCAGTAAATACCAGTTCCAAGCAGGTTCAGCACACCAGTCTTAAAGCATCTGAACTACAATGAATCTATCTGGTGAATCATTAATAGATTACAGCAGAAATGAAGGGAAAATATACCTATTGCATTTCCTGTTAAATTGGATAATATACATCAGCTATGATAAATGGGATAATACTAAGGTAGTCGAGGTAGTAAAGGTGTGCAAACTTCTTGTAAAGAAACAGGAAAATGAGACTCTCAGTGTGCAACCCAGACCTTCCTCTATTACATGTATTCATGTAACCCAGACCTTCCCAACACTCTGCAGAGAGCTCTCCATGGAGTCCAGGACTTATGCATGGGCCAGGGGGTCAAGAACAGGGCTGAGGGACCCACCAACTCCACTGGAGGTATACTCAGGAAAGTGAACTTTCTTAATGAGCCCTTCCACACTGTATAGCTCATTTTAAAAGGGCAGCTGCAGGCTAGGGAGCTCCATTGAGCGAAGGGGAAAGGAACCCTGGCCCTGATACAGTGGTACAAGACCTCTGTGCAGATGGCCTTATGCCTCCAGAAGATTAGAGTC